TCTAGAGCTCTGTAAAGAAATGAAGCCGCTATCTCAAAAGAATGAAATAGCATTTTGGGAAGGTTGAGTCAGAGGGGTTGGTGTGGCCTGGAGAGATTTTCTCAGGGTGATAAGGCACTGGCACCCAAGTCTACAAGCAGAGGCTGGTAAGCTGGCAGTGATTTCTTCCTGGGGGATGAGGATGAACCCTTCTGATTGTAAGGTTTTGTGACTGATGGGGTTAGTTAGGATTGGAAAGAGAACTCCCAGTGCATATGCAGATTGGGAAGCCAGCTGTTGCTTGCTGTACCTCAGGAAAACCAGGTTGGGAATCTGGCTCAACTGTATACATTCTGACCCACTTACAGATTCTTGGCTCTGTCTAGGTTTGAGTTTAGTCTTTGTGATTACAAACATCTTCCAGTGCCATTTTTCATGAATCTTTGAGTTGTGAATAACAGAAATGTGAGCTGAGCATAAAGGAAATAAAGGCAGAAATTGGTTGCTGCCATCATCTTCTAGAGTGCTGTGATTTCTTTAGCATTAAGCCATGTCTCATTGGTTTCTGTTTTCTCCTCTTTGCCGTCTTTGGTTTGTAAGGCCAGGAAGCTTTGAGGTATGTGGATTGACATGAGTGTGTCTTCTACTCCTTTCTCCTTGTGCTCAGTTTGCACTTGTCATTCATCTGTACTCAACAGCCCACTGTGCTGTCATGTTTTGTACTTGCTGTTCTTTCCATTCTGTGCTCCTCCTGTGTCCACCTGGTGCAACTTGCCTCACGGTTTGTCTTTTCCACTAGTCTCTCTGCCACCACCTAGAGAGTCAGTTGCTCCTTCCTAACTCTTGTCAGATTTTTATTATGGCTCTCATACTGTAATTACTTGTTTACATATGTATGTCTCTTACTAAGTTGGTGGGAGAGACACATAAGATTTATCTCTAAAGCTCAGTAACTAGTTTAGTACATGGAATATTCTAGGGGCTCAGAGAAATACGAATCATTGAGTCTTATAGATATAAGTAAAGAAAAGGAAGCCCAGTGCATTGAAAAGATTGATACATGCTCCCATATGCATTTCAAGGCAAATACTTAAGATAAGTATTTAAAAGAGTTCTAAGCTGGATGCTGTTGGCTCATACCTGTAATCCTAGCTAGGCAGGAGGCAGACATCAGGAGGATCAGGTTCAAAGCCAGCCCAAGGCAAATAGTTCACTACACCCTATCTGGAAAAAACCCAATACAGACTAAGGCTGGTGGAGTTAATCAAGTGTAGAGTGCCTGCTTAGCATGTGTGAGGCCCTGGGTTCAAATCCCAGTACTGCAAAAAAGAAAAAGATTTGGGAGGTGGGGCAGTGCTGGGGATTGAAGGCAGGGCATCTGGGTGCATTCTACGTGGGCACTCTTCTACCACTGATCTACATCCCTAGCCCAGAGTTAAGACTTTTTTAAACCTTAGTTTAATTTCTCTTTAGTTTAGTTACTACTGTGGTAAGAATTTTGATTTTAAAATTTGGTCATCATTACTTTGATTTGTGTTTGTGTGTTTTATGCTTGCCCTAAACTCATGATCTTTCTGCCTGGTGGGTAATCAGCATTGATAAAGAATAAACTAGATGAGGAAATGTGGGTGTTTGTGAAGTGGCTTTTTTTGGAGGGATTTGTTTGTTTCCTCTTAATTTGTTCCATTCATTTGTTTTACTCTTGGTATTATCCTGTTTTAGATTCCTCATTTTCTTCACCTTCTGTGGCTGTTGTGTATCCTCTTCTCTCCATCAGTGCTTTGCTTTTTTTTTTTTTTTTTTTTTTGCCCCCTGGTGGTTAATAAGTACTGTATTGTGTGAGAGTTGGGCAGAGGAAGGCTAACTGACAAATGAGAATGAGACCCATGTTTTGATTTGCAGTGCTTCTGTTTCTCACATGTGGGCCATTACTCCAGAGAAGAAATATCACCAGATCTGATCTCTTGACTTAGACCTGGTGTTGGAGAGCAAGAATTTACATTATTTAACAAGGCCTTCAGCTGTATGCCCAAGTGCACTTACGTTCAAGAATCATTGCTTAGAGCTTACTGCTCAGCTATTAGTTAATGCAGCTGTAAACAGAAGTAAAACATTCATGGATCAAGACTTTCTCAGTCATTTACTCAGGAAATATATTTGGTACTTGTGGTATTTTATAGCTTCTGTAGAACTTGGTATCTTCAAAGGAAAACCTATTCACTCTGTGTATCCTGCGTCTTTCTCTCTTGTTCAGGATTACCTGCTCCCACTTCAAGCCACCTAAACTTCCCCTACTAGTGCACAGTGTGTTTATAGCTATTGGCAATATTCCTAGGAATGAAGGAAAGACTTTTTGGATTCAGTTACTTTCTGTGAGGAAGAGCTGAACACTGATTTTTTTTTTTTTACAAGAATCCAGAGCATACAGTGTAATTTCCATGTTAACCCTTGGCACAAATTTTTGTGTTTCAAAGCCCATCTTAACAGGGTCCCTGGCCAGGGGAATTGATTTGAAGTGTATTCTGCCATGGAAGTACAGAGTAAGTACAGCTTTTTACAGAAGGTAAAAATCTTCTGTTTATACATAGATCAACTGCAAACGCCTACTCTGCTGCCCTCCTCCTGTTGGGGGTGTGCAGATATGGGGAATGGCTTGTACTTGTGTGTGTGTGTGGATTTGGAATCTTCCCTATTGTGAACAACAAAAGAAGCCAGTTGAAACAATAGAAGTAATAAGTTTGTCAGATCTGGACAAGTGATCCTTAGGAGATGAGCTGAGGTCACTAAGGTAATAGGTACTAGAGCTGGGTGCTGGTGGCTCATGTCTGTGATCCTAGCTACTTGGGAGGCTGAGATTGGGAGGATGGTGATTCAAGGGCAGCCCAGCAAATAGTTCACGAGACCCCATCCCTAAAATAACCAGAGGAAAAATGGACTGGAAGTGTGGCTCAGGTGGTAGAGCTCTTGCTTTGAAACCCTGAGTTCAAATCCCAGTCCCATCAAAAATAATAAACAAGATGAAACAAAACAGTTAAAAAAATAGGTGCTATAAAATTTGTAGTATGTACCCCCAGTACATCAATATAAAAAAAGAAAAGAAAAAGTTTGTAGTACAATTACCTGATAGGATGATGGGCCTGTGGATCATTCTTCTTGCATCCTTATCTGAGAGTAACCTGTACAGGTTGTGGCTTTGAAATATGTCTAGATGAGTTCATAATTCCAAACAGTTCAGAATGTGCCAGCCCTTCCTTAGATCCAAATGAACTGGCAGCCACTCAGATAAGATGATGATGTGGTCCTTACACAGGCACCCTCAGTTTTTCTTGGCAAAGCGTGAACATAGGAGTGATACCAAAGTCACTATTTTGTCACCATAGATTCTCCAATCCTCCGGATTGCCAAGTGTCAAAACAGTGTATGTTTTACTTTTATTTTTTCTGTGGGTGATGGCAGAAACACATTTTGGTTCATAAATTTATAGGTTCTTCTGTGTCCCATGCATAACCTGGAAAGTTGATTGAAAAGCCAGTGGTTTTAAATTAAATGAATATTTAATACACTGAAAAAGTGTTCAAGCCCATTGATCTTTGGTTTTTGTTCATGCTTGTTGCTGGAATCTGATGGCCTTGAAATGTACTTAATTTTTCTATTAAAAGAGTTATCGCTACATTTCTCAAACTTGGTTTTCAGTGTAGATTTCTTTAGGTGATTTTATCACTTAAAGGTAAAGAGTTACTAAATGAAGGCAGGCAGAGAAGAAAGAGTGCCCTGAGCCAGGAGGTTTCACTGTGGGGGTGGAACATAAAGTGAATGATGATAGGCATGGAGATGGGTCAGTCAACATGGTGGAGCCAACTGCTGTAGACTTCCTACTGTCTTGTCCAGTAACTTGGTCTGTAACTGGTTGCAGGTGATTGGGTTTTAGAGCCTGGTTATAGACTCTTCCCCACCCCAACTATATGTTAATTGCTGTTTGGATGAGCCTTGGTCTCAGACATATACAGCTCAATCTGTGCAGATCCTTGAAGATTTTTATATTGAGAGGTGTCTGTTTAAATTATGAATGATCACTAAGACATTGTTTTTTGTTCTGAACATCTGACCATTGGTGGTAACCTCCAGTTTATATACTCTTTGAATTTCAATAAATTGTTGGTGAGGTCTTCGTAATTGGGTAGAACACAAGGTGTAGAATTTAACCTATTTTTTCATGTGCTGGTTATTATATGCCTTAACTTATCTATTATGAATAAGAAATTTCATATGAAATTATAATGAAGTCTCTTGGTCTCCTCTGACTAGTGAGCGTTAGATCAGCTTATATTCAAATTCTGGGGAGGTGGTGGGGGTTGTCTGTCAAAAGACCTGCCATTCTGAAGTACTGGTAAAATCACCAAGTTCAACTTTTAAGAACATGTTCTTCTTAATATTCAGAAATGCACTATCCCGGAAGCCTTTTCTAAAGTTCTTCCTAAGTTTTTTTGTGAGAATTCATTTAGTGACAGAAATAACCAAGGAATCCAGCCATTAGTTTTGAGAAGGGCAAAGACTTTTTAGCTGTTACAGGCAAGCTGTAGCCTTCCTTTTCTGAGAGGCAGTGAGCAAGAGAGCTCTAGGGTTTTTTTTTTAACCTCCCTTCCCCTTAATCTTCCCTAGTGGGATTGGGGGCTGGTCCCCAGGTATGCAGCATTTTGTGAGTTTATGGGGTGATATAAAATTGCAACTGAGTCTACTGGTTCTGCTTTGGAAACTGCTTTAAATTTTTTGTGAAAGCAAAGCCTTTTGTCTTTATTTTTCAATTAGGAAAGTTCTCCCTCTTGAGAAGATTCTGGAATACAGACAAGCAGTCCTTGAGCTTTCTCCTTCCCACACATTAAGGCAGGCTGGACATGCGGGCATGTCAGAGTTTGCATTGTTCTCACAGAGCTTTGTCTGACCTCTTTAGGACTCTAGGTGGTATGTATATTTTTGGTGACAATCTTAACTTTATTCTCATTTATGTCTTCATTCTCTTTCAGTGTCTTCGGTCATGAAACTTACTCCACAACAAGCTCCATTATATGTGAGTAGATAATGTGATTTCTTTTGCATTTCTGCGTCTCTGTGTTCTTTGTTATAATAAACTCATACTCATGTGGTAGATATTTTAAAGAAATTTTTACATGTCTGTGAATGACTTTATTGGCAAGTATACTTTAGAAATAGAGTTTGGTTTGGTAAATGCTAAATGCCTAACACATGACGGAACTCAGCTGAGGACAGTTGTAGCTGTAAGGCTTGCGATCGGGTGCACATATAAAACACATTGCCCCAGAAGTGGGACTGTGGTTTCTTATTTTTACCTGCAGTGTATTTCTATAAACATAGAATGAGATCGGCCTGCTGCTGTGGTGAGTTGCTCTGCATTGCTACTAGGTGGCAGATACTCTGTCATGGCAAGTGCTGCTTACCTTATGACCTGGGATGAAAGCTGCCATGTCCCTTGCTTAAAGCGAGGGAATTGTAAGACAAAATTGACAAAATGAACAAATCAAGGCTGAGCAAGGTAAACTTGAGTCTTAGTATCAGATCAAGAATCCCTTATCTGAAATGCTTGGAACTACAGATCAGACAGAATTTTGTCTGATTCTGGAATATTTGTGTCTGTCTATCTATTATCTTCTATCTCTTGGGACTAGGGCACAAGTGTAAACATGAAATCCATTTGTTTCACATGTACCTTAGACTTAGCTTGAAGTTAATTTTATGCAATATTTTTCATAATTTTGGGTGACATTAGGTCAGGTATGAAATTTTCAGTGCTCAAACAGTTTTGTATTTTGGGGCATTTTGGATTCCAGATTACCCCACTTCTGAACATGTGCGTCACCCCAGAAGATAGGTTGTACCCATTAGCAGTCATTACTTCCCACTCCTTCCAGCCATGACAGGCATTTTATTTACTTTCTGTCTTTATTCATTTACCTGTCTTGCAGATTTCATATATGTGAAATCATGCAGTATGTTGCCTTTTGTGACTGGCCTCTTTTACTTAGCATGTTTTCAGGGTTTATCTATTTTAGCTCATGTATCTCTCTAGTTCCTTTTTATTGATGAAAAATACTCCATTGTGTGGGTATACCTTATTTTATTTATCTATTTGAGTTCTTTCCTCTTTTTGGCTTCTATGAATAGTGCTGCTGTGGACAGGTTTTTGTGCCTTCATATTTTTAATTTTTCTTGGGTATATATACCTAAGAATAAAATTCTTACTCATATAATTATGGCTTCACATTTTGAGAAATTTCCAAACTGTTTTCCACCATGACTGGACCATTTTTCCAGCAGTTTATGAAGTTTTTAATTTTTCTGTATTTCACCAGTATTTTCATTGCTTTTTTTTTTTTGGTGGTCCCAGAGATTGAACTCAGGGCCTTGAGCTGCATAGGCAAGCTCTCTTCCTCTTGAGCCAAATCCCCAGTCCTTTTGCTTTGCTTTTCACATAGGGTCTCCTGCTTTTACCTAGGTAGGTTGGGACTGGGATCCTCTTTCCTACCTCTGCTTCCCAGTAGCTAGGTTATAGATGTGCGCCACTATAACTGGCCCCTTCTGAGTTTTTGACTGTAGTCATCCTAATGGATGTGAAGTGATAGCGCATGTGTTTTGATTTGTATTTCCCAAATGGCTAATGGCTTTGAACATCTGTTCATATGCTTATTAGCTATTTATATGATGGGAGAAGTGTCTGTTCAGACTCTTCACCCAATTAAAAATTGGGTTATTTTTCTTACTGAATTGTATGGGTTCTTTGTGTATTTTGGATACAAATTCCTTATCAGATTTGTGATTTGCAAAAATCATCTGTCATTCTGCGAGTTACCATTTTACTTTGGTGATGTTTTGTCCTATGAAGTACAAAAACTTTCTGTTTTAATTGTGTCTAGTTTATTATTTCTTCTATCACTTGTACTTTTAGTATCATATCTAAGAAGAATGTTTTGCGTAAAGCAAGATCACATATCTAGGAATAATTTTTTGCCTAAACCAAGGTCATAGAGATTTACTCCTGTGTGTTTATCTTAGAATTTCATAGTTCACATCTTCATCCCCAGAAGCTTTACACAGCAAAAAAGACTTCTCATAATTAATTAAATTATAAAATTTGAGATGGAAGTTTATCCTGAATTATTTGGTTGATCCATTGTAATTACGTCTTATAAGTAAGAGAGTGTGTGAAGACAATCAGAGAGATTTGAAGATGCAGTGCTATTTGCTTTGCAGGTGGAGGAAGGGGTCATGAGCCAAGGATTATAGCCTTAAGGAACTGGCAAAACCAATGAACCTTTTCCCCCCAGAGCCTCCATAGGCACATTGCCCTGCTGACACCCTGATTTATCTCAGTGGAAGACATTTTAGACTTTGTTTTCCCACTGTAAATCTTGTTAAGCTTAAAAAAGTTTCATTCTGCTAGGGAAATGGGATCAGCTCTGAGGATTATTCTTAACAGAGTAAGTGCTTGGTATATGACTGTTTTAAGGAATTGGACAAGCTCTCTTCAGATTTCAAATATCTATCATGTGGTAATACTTAGCAGAAAGTTTGTTATCCTTTTTTAAAATGTGACAATATTTCATTCTCAATAAACTGAGTCCAACTCACAGGAATTTATGTTGTGTTGGCAGAGAAAACTAGCTGTTGTATAACAGTATGTTGGATAGGTCCGTGCTTTGCACCTAGAGAAAGTAATGAGCAAAGGAACAAAAAGATTGTTTAAGCTTACCTTTTAGTATATATTTGGGATTGGCCAGTGGTGAATATCATCAGTAGAGGAGGGAAAACACTGAATCCGGAGAACGTTTTATCTGTAAGTTAAGAAAAGTAGGCTAGATTGCAAATAAATATTTAACCAGTTTTTAAGTAAAGATGCATGCAGAGTAGGTTGCATTAGTTGGGAGTACTGTTGAATGTTTTAAGTAAATCTGTTTTAGTGGGCTATTATTTTTATGAAGTGTTCACAGAGGGAGGTGCAGGACATTAGTTTGGAATTTTGGAATCCAGTATCTCAATATGGCCATGCCTTTCTTTCCTTGTCACTCATCTTTGATTCTGTGAATACAATCTTTGTGTCTGGCAAGAATGTTACATTTCTAGGTCAGGTATGTCTTACAGCCTCCACAAAAGTACAGATTCTTTGCAGATGGATTTGTAATAATTGCAGTTTAGGTCTCATTGGGTGGTGTTGATAAAAACAATTACAAGTTTAGGTATATCTTTTTCTGCATGATGGCCTTAATATACCGTGAAAATAAAAATGAGAGGCAGTGGCAGATGCAGGAAATACTTTTAGAAGCAGCAGAGCCAAATACTTTAGTAGACGTGAAGAGTGAAAGAGAAGAGTGAATGACTTGCATTTGGTTGATGATTTGAATGAGTCACAGCAAATGCCATTGTTAAAGGGAATGAGGAGATGATGAACTTGTTCTTTAAACATACTGTAGGACACATGGGTGTCCTGTTGCTAGCAGGAGATCTGTGGTTGGAATTCTGGAGCAAGGAAGTCAGTTTAGAAGTAGAGGTAGTTTGTGTTGTCTCTAAGAACTGGACAGCTCTGAATGTGAGAGTAGATGTGCTCTTTGGGAGTATAAGAGAGTAGATAGAATTAGGATAGTGGGCAGTGGGAAAGAAGACAAAAAAAGAAAACTTTTTATTCCTGAAATTAATTTCACCCACACATCCAGATTGGAAGTGAATTTTGGGCTGGGGCTGAGGAGACTCATTTTTTCGTTTAGGTGTCCTCTTCGTGCAAAGTCCTTATCTGGGGTGCTGGAGATTTCACCATAAGCAAAACGGATTGTCCCCTTCTCTTGTGGTATTTATATTGTAGTGAGAAGAGGCAGACAACTTATACACAGAAAAATTTTAACAGGTGAAAAAGCTCTATGAAAACAAATAAAGTAAGAGGATGTGATAGTGCCTGGCTAGGGGTGTTTTAGGTTGGGTGGCTGGGAGCACCTCTGAGAGGCATGCTTTTATGCTGACCTGAATGACCAGAAGATGTTGGCACAGTGTCCCAGCTCAGGGAAATAAGCGAGTAAGTTCAAAAGTAAGAATAAGCTTTTATTTGTTTGAGGAACGGAAAGAACAGTGTCTGGGCTTAGGGGGTCCAAAGGCTAGTGGGGCCTGGTCTGTCCTCCAGGATGAGATTGGAGATGTTGGAAGGAGATGAGGGAAAAGCTAGATCTTCCAGACTTTCACAGACAGTTAGGTAACTCTCCGGGTCCACCTTTTCTCATGTGTGAATCCCAGTGCAGCATGTATTTCTGTGTGCTCTAAAATTTTAGAACCCTTAACAGCGTGGGGTCAAGTCAGATCACTTGGGATGCTGAGATTTAACCTAATGTGGGCATGCTGGTCTGAGCAGCCTGCATTCTTACCAAGTTTAAATGTACGCATTTTGGATTCTCCATGTGAGGAAAAAATAGTTTTGAGTCATTTTTAAGATTTGTGCTTTAGATATAGATAAATATTCTTGAATTTTTTTAAAGCAGATTTCGTTTTTACTTATCACAGTGAAAATTTAACAAAAATTCTACTTTAGTTTTATATTCTTTCATGGCTAGATTACTTTTTTGGGAGGAATAAGTCATCATATTTTCAAAATTTGCTACTGTTTGTCCATTTTTGAACCTACGTGGTGAAGGATATAATTTAAGAGTAGTCTTTTCACCATCATGTTTTCTCTGAATACTATTGATGTGTAACACTCATTTTACCACCTGTAACTTTCTGGATGATAACTCCTTTAAAAAAAAAAAAAGCTTGACTAGTACCTAATAGTTGAAAAGGGACTTTTGCGTACATTGTGTCATTTTGTTCTCATAGCGAAGTTGTGAGAGAGGAGGAAACATAAGCGCAAAATGGCTCCTGTGAGGGTTGGGGATGAGGCTCAGTGGTAGAGCGCTTGTCTAGCATGCACAAGGCTCTGGGTGGGGAGCCAGTTTACTTAGTAACTAGCAAGGGTGGCGCTTCTGTACACCAAGCCGTCTCATAAAGTCCACAGCCGTTCCATAAAATACGAAACTC